CCCCCCCCCCCCGCCCCGCTCCACCTCCCAGCCCCTAGCCTACCTGCACCTGCTGCCCCAGCTCCTGTCCTCAAGGATGGCTTCTGGGCACCTCTCCTCTGGATGCCTCTGCACCCACTCCTGCTCTGTCACCTCAGCTGGACTCCTCTGGCCCTCCAAGCCCTCGGCTCACCTGTCCTCCTTTACTCTCCATCACTCTTCCACCCCTTTGGGACTCTCACTGCCCCAGCTTTTTCCACCCAGCCCAACCCCCAGCCTTGGTTGGTTCTGTGCCTCAGCCTCAAACGCCTTTCTTCCACTCTTCATTTCTCTAGACCTTGGGCCTTAAAACCCAGCACAAGCCCGCCTCTTCCAGGCAGTACTCCCTAACTGCTCCAGCCCTCCCCACTCCTTGCCTCCTGAGCCCACGCTGCCCTTCTGGTTTCCTCTCATTCCACCTCTTCAATCCTAACCTCCACTTTGGGAGGTGGGAGGTTGTGCCCCATCTCTTGCTCCCTCCCCTGGTGCCTGCCTGTCTGGTGCTGGGTGCACAGAGGTGACTTTCTGCTGGTTCCAGGCCTGTTGTTCCCTGTGTGCACACCCCTGCCCGTGGGGGGTGAGCTCTGCCACGACCCCGCCAGCCGGCTTCTGGACCTCATCACCTGGGAGTTGGAGCCAGAGGGCGCTTTGGACCGATGCCCATGTGCCAGTGGCCTCCTCTGCCAGCCCCACAGGTGAGGCCCCAGCTGCCCTCCCTGTCAAGGTGAGAGCGGATGAGATGCCCCTCTGTGGGGAGGCAGGAGCAGGGGATGTGGACTCAGTGTAGGGTAGGTTTAGTTTGAGGTGTCCTCGGGTCTTCCAGATGGAGGGAGGGGTCCAAGGGCAGTCAGCTCTGCAGGATCAGGGCTCAGGAGAAGGTGTGGCCAGAGGGTGCAGAGTCGGGGCTCATCTAGAGGGCGGTTGGAGCCCCGGAGTGGATGACCAGGGGACAGGGTGTGCAGGGAGAGGCGAGGAGCTCCGAGGAGCAAGGCCAGCCCCTCGCAGTGAAGGGCAAGCTGAGAAGGAGCCGCGCCATCAGACCCGGAGAGCCGGCCACCGAGGTGGGGGCACCACCCACGGTGCAGGGGCTGCCAAGGGAGCGTGAGGCGTCAGGGCTGCGCCTGGCCTTTCCCAGTGCACATCTCGCTGGATCTCTCGGCAGCCGCTAGCCATCTTTTCACCCAGCAGAATCCAGAGTGGCAGGGCAGACAGAACTCCCCTCCCTGCCCCACGGGCCCACGGCTCCCACGGGCGCAGCAGTCAGGCCGGGAGGCCCCCCACCGTCCACAGCTGCTCCTGCCCCGAGGCCCTGGGTGGGCAGAGGCTTGGAGAGGGGCACCCGGGGCTGTGAGCTCTCAGAGCCCCATCCTCAGGGCCTGCCCCTGGGATGCGGAGCCCCGGAGAGTCAGCGGCAGGGAGACAGACCTGCAGCTCGTGGTGGGGGAGCCGCCCCTCGAGCCCCTTCTCCAAAGGTGACCCTCCCGCAGCAGTCTTCAAGGTAAGATGTTGACACAAGGTGAAGACTCCTTTGAAGAGGTGTTAGGGGAGGTTTGTGAAGGTGAGACCCACAGACCCACAGACAAAGGGCGCTGCCTCTGTTCCAGGCCTGGCCTCATGCCCAGGCTCCCCCACCTTGAGATCCTGGCTGTGCCCCCAGGGGAGACATGTGCCCCGAGTGGAGACATGGCCTTCGGCTGAGCCACAGCCCCATCTCTCCCCAGCCACAGCCTGGTGTACGTGTGCAAGCCGGCCTTCATCGGGAGCCGCGACGGGGATGCAGAGAACCTGCTGGCCAGAGAGGCCCCCGGCGAGTCCGAGGCCGGTGGCCTCATGGAGGAGGTGCGCCGGGAGCTGGAGAACCTGGAGAGGAGCCTGTCGGTGGAGATGGCTCTCGGGGAGCCCGGGGCCGCCTCTGAGCTGCTGGAGGGAGAAGAGATTTAGCCCCTGCCTGTGCAGTGGGTAGACGTGCAATAGAAGTAGCTAATTTATTTCCCCAGCTGTGTCCTCTAGGTGTGGGCTTTTCCATGGCCTCTTCCCAGTGCCTCGCCCTCTGGCTTGAAACACAACGAGATCCTGCACCCCTGTCCAGCTCCCCGAGACTCTACAGCACGCATCCCACTTCTGGGGCCTGGGAAGGGGTGGGGGCGGGAGGCTGACGGCGGAACAGAACTGCTAAACTGGTCCGAATCATCGGCCACTCTGCCTCTGCTGGCTGGCGGATGGCACGTTGCATTTTGTTCTATATCGCCTCAAGAACTGTTGGAGGGGAGGGGATGGAAAAGGATACGGAATTTCCCCGTGGTGGGTTTTGGGGAAATGTTGACTCTTATACTTGTGGAGAAGAGTGCCCTGCTTTGCTCACAGAAACCTGGCGAAAATGCGACAGATGAATTTTTCATGCAGTCCTGCCCGCTGCCTGGGCAAGCTGTGCCTTCTGCTGCTGCGGCTGACACGTTGTGCTCGCTGCGTGTTCCCTGCATGCATCCTTCCAGCAGTTTTACTCCGCTCCTACCTCTGCGCCGGGGCAGCGGCTTTATATCTGTGATTGGGTGATGCCCTCACCACAGCCGCGAAGGGCACATTGTTCCCCGCCCGTCCGGATCTCGGAGGCTCAGAGACGTCAAGTTGCTTGCCCAAGTCACACAGCTAGTAAAGACCAGAGCAGGATTTCACCCAGGTGTGACGCCAAGCCCAGGGCTCCCCACCAGCCTCAGTGCCACCAAAAGTACCCCCTAAAAGGAGGAAGGATGAGATTTTTCTTTTTTTGAGGCACATCTGGAATTATGGTCAAACTAGTTCACTCATCCCTGTAAGACTAAACTTGTACCGTTAGAAATAGCAGCGTTCTCCCCAGTGTGGGGGCGGCCATCGTTCTAGTGGAGACAAATGATACTGACACCGTCCCCTCTGGCAGTTAGTTACATTAGTAACTCTGAAGGTACGCGATGGAGCATGATACATAAGTTAAGTTGCCAGAAACATACTTAGGTAATTGTCGGGCCAGGATGGGAAACGAAATTTGCAAAATCGCTTACTAGCAACTGAGGACCATTATTGTCCACATGGAGGAAATCAAACACGTGAGGCCCTATGAAATACGGTTGTAATATCCAAACTCAGCGCTGGCTGCATGCTGTCCCACAAATGATATTTTCAGGTGCCATGGACCATTTCCATCATGTATTCATCCAGAGTTATTAAATTTTAAAGTTGCACACGATTGTATAAGCATGCTTTCTTTGGGTTTTAAATTATGTATAAACACATATGTTGCATTTAGAAATCAAGCATAAATCACTGTAACTACTCTTTCATAGTTTTTGGACTTCTTCTTTTTCTTTTGACTTTGAATAAATGTAAAACACTTTTAGCCAGAAAACGTAAAATAGAATGACCTGCATTGTCAAAAAAAAAAATCCCTTCCTTATAAGTAAATTTTCCAGACAACGGAAGCACATCTCTTTTAGCATCAACATATTTAGAAAGGTTAACCATTTGGGGATGGAATTAGTCTTAAGAGTGTCAGTGCATCTGTCTCCTGAAAGAGAAAATGGGTGTCTATGGCCCTTTCCTTGGGAACCCTCTTTAATTAATGCAGTTCTGGGCCATAACACAGCAAGAGCTCCAGGGACTGTAATAATAAAGCTACTTTATATTCAGGTCAGCTGGGTGGCAGGCACCGACCAGACAGTCTACCTATATTAACTCAATTCATCTTCCTTGAATCCATGAGGATTTTCTTCATTTAACAGAGGAAGTAATGGAGGCTTGAAAAGGTTAAGAGATGGAGCTGGAAGTCAGACAAAAACAGTGTCTGGTAGAGTATGCCCAGGCTACACTGAGCATCTTAAGATCAGATACAGAGCCGTTCTCTAGCCAATGTCAAAACCCATCCTGTCCACTCGACATCCTTATTTTTCAGCAGCTACTTCCTGAGAGCCCGCTCAGAACCAGGTGCTGTGATATGCTCTGGGGGTGCCAAGGTGACCCTGAGAGCGTCCCTACCCTGAGGCATTGAAGCCTACCGAGGGAGATGCAGCGAACCCAGCACCAACAAAAGCAGTCAGCCCGACATCAGAACACAGTGTCGTGGAGCCTCAGAGGGGCACGTGGCTTGGGACAGTTGGCTCCCGAAGATGCCAGGAGTGTATCAGGAGGCCAGAAGGAATAGGAAAGGGCATTCTGGGCCATGGGCAGAGGGAGGGAGCCAGGAAGGAGGGATGGTATGGAGGGGAAACTGCAAGTAATACACAGTGGCTGGAAGGCAAGGTAAATCTGAGCAAGTGTTTGGAGAAGAGGCTGAAAATTAGTTCATTCAGAAAATGTATTGAGCACCCACTATATGCCAGGCCCTGTATTAGGTGCCAGGGAGCCAGTGAAAAATGAGATGGAACTAGGTCCCTCCCTCATGGAGCTTACAAGTGGGTCTATTATCTTGCTCCACGTTGTTGTCATAGCCACAAAAATGTAAGAACATGAGAGGCTTTGCCAAATCCTTGGCTGAAATCCAATGGAGTGGCTGGTGTATATTCTAATGGCCTGTGGTACCGGGCAGGTGGAGGTTGGTACTTGAATTTTACTGTCTGCCTCTCTCTGGGATCCAGAGCTCCTGCCAAGGAAGCCTTGGTGGACGCTGTCGTTTCAGCTACCCGACAGCCGTTCCCAACCCTCTTTCCTTGCCCTTGTCCCACCACCAGAGCCTGGAAAAGCCAGCCCCCCTTGCAGCTGGGATGGCCCCGCAGCCCAGTTCTGGCCCAGGAAATGCAAGGGGAAGGCTGCCAGAGAGTTTCTCAGAAGGATTTTTTTCCCTGAGTGACAAAAGGGAAAAAGGATACATGAAGAAGACCCCTGGCCTCTGCCCTCTTTGCTGGTTGCCTGCCTCTGAGCACAGCGCAGGCGTTTAGGATGTGCCGGTTGGCGCTGGGGCAACCATCTTGTGGTCATGTGATCGAGATCCAGGCGCATCAGCAGGTCGGCCTTCTACGGAGGCTCTGGGTAAGAAGCCATTCCCTCGCCCTTTTTAGCCTCTAGAGGGCGCGCTCCACTCCTTGGCTCCCGGCTCTTTCGTTTTCAACGCTGGCCATGGCAGGTCTGGTCCTCTCTGGGTGCCCTCTCTCTGGTTCCTGCGGCTGGGAAAAGTTTTCCACTTTTAAGGATTCATGGGATTAGATTGGGCTCACCTAGATAATCCAGAATAAACTTCCCACGTCAAAGTCCTTTACCTTAATCACATCTGCAGTCCCTTTTGCCGTGCACGGTAAATGTTCACAGGGTCCGGGGTTTAGGCTGCCGACATCTTTCAGGGGCCATTATTCTGCCTGTTACGGAAAGGTAAGACTCCGAGTCCTCGATGACATTGAGCCATCCTGCCATCAGCCATGTCTGGACTCCGTTTTAAGTAGACCACCAACATTCTTATAAAGTTGCTGTCAGTCTTTCCGTCATTTGAAGCCAGTGGCATTCCTGATAGAGGAGATACTTGCATGACGAACAGTAGCCCAAAGGGGAACACAATACAGCCTTATCAGTCCCAGCCCACCGGCTTCCCCACCCGCAGCGTACAACTCTGGAAAAGCAAGATTAGCAAACGAAGCGTCTGGGCGGGTGGGGCAGCTGTGAGTCTGTTCCCGACCTTCCGCACAGACGAGTGGCCCGTCCACCCCCACGGCCTCAGAGCCAACAGGAAGAGCAGCGCGATGGGGCGCAAACGGGTGCTGCCGACTTTTCCCAGCTTCCCCTCTTCCTGATCAGTTCCTGCGCCCTCTCTTTCGCTCCAGGTGTCTGGCTTCTCCGGCCTCACCAGCCTGGTTCTTTGGGCCTTTGACACCGACAGGAGAAGGGCTGCGGGCGGAAGGACGGAGGTTGAAGAGGCAGCAGCGGCCTGCTGGGTGTGAGGGGAGAGGTGGGCCGAGGGAAGGGGCCTCCAGTATTCCGGCGGCTGTGTACCCCCTCCAGATAGTTCATGCAACTGGATTACTTGAGATTGCTTTTTCAAAGCTAGACTGGGTTTCTAAGAGGCCAGCCGCTGTGGGGCTGGGCACCCTCGGACAGGGCTTGCCAGAGGTGCCACTTCAGCAGCAGCAGCGACACTTGCCCTATATAAAAACTAGAGAGGAGGTAAGAAATCCCTTTTAGGGAGATTGCAGCCTTTGGAAAACAGGTTATTCCTCTTCCCGACCTCCCACGAGGGAGGGGAAATTAGACTTATTCCTCTGGCTAAAACCTGGATGGGGGGAGCTTTTCGGAGAAACGCTCATAAAATTTGTATGGGAGCTATTGACACGTCTGCTTGGAGTTGAGTTCTTGGCTGGTGGGACCCGCAGGGCATCCGCCTTCAAGTCTACAAGAGTTAACAGTGCCCAGTGGAGGGGACAGTACTGTCACCACGCCCATCAGGACGCTGCGCACGCGAGGGGACGTCTCCCCCTCCTCGCCTCGCCCGCTGCGCGCAGAGCCAGTGCAGGAAGAGGCGGGCGATGGGAGCACTGACCACACCCGCTTCCGTCTCCTGAGAGCAGCACGTCTAGTGGGCCCTGGGGGTGGGGGTGGGGGTCTGAATCAAATGCCTGAAACTTTAACAAGATCAGACTGTTTTCATAATGCAAAGTGACTTGAAAGTTACAGGACTGCACTTAGAACTTGATAAGAGCCCGAAACCGGGTTCGACAGAACACGGGTGGCACGGTAACTGGAAAAATAGAACCCCTGTGTATTTCTCTCTCGACAAGTTGCTGCTCCATTGAACAGGTTGCTTAAGCATTCTAAAAGAAGCTGGAAACTAAGTGGGCCCTCTGTCCTGGGGGAAGGGGCAGGCTGGGAGCAAAGAAAGCAGAGGGGGAGCCTGGTCCCCACCTTTCAGGCAAGGCCATAGGGTCCACTAATCACTCCCGGCCTGGGGAATCCTCGGGCTCTGCCCAGTCAGAAGACCGGCTGTCCTGTACCGTTACCTGGTGACGGGGAGGCGGGCTGCTGTCCCCGGAAGGGGCGGAGCATTCCTCCCCCTGCTTTTCTGGCGGCCCGGCTTGGCCCCTAGGGATGGCTGCCTTCTTTTCTGAACAGTCGCCCAAGCTTTAACGCACTCTTTTGTCAAGTACTCTTGAGAGCTTCTGAAAGCCAAGTTTGGAAGTTCACACTCCATCTAACCAGACGATCACAGCCCGCCCCCGGCAACGCGGACGACCCTGAAGCAGCATCTTGATTTCCTGTGCACTAAGCCTAGGTGGCCGCAAGCTTTGTTGGGGCCGTGAACTCCTGGGCAAACCTGATAGAAAACATTTTCCTGGCCCCCTAGAAAACTGTACGTATGTACAATTTTGCATTTAAGGATTCATGGCCTTATAAGGCTTTTGACTGCTAGTGACCAAAATGTTGCCGTTTTTCAAAAATTACACAGAATTGTTTAGATGGAATAGTTTTATTTAGCAAACACAAAATTTGCTAATTCAGATTATCTTCTATTCCATATACTTTAGACTACAATTTGCAAGTCACAAGTGCGAAAGAGTTGGTTAGGGTCTTGACGCTCAGCAAAGGGACAAATTTCAGAGGGAGAACTACAGTAGCCAATTGAAAAGGAAATACTAGCGAGTGAGCCAGAATAAAAGACTTTATTGTATTCCATACATTCACAGGTCACTTCCAGGGTCAGTAACAACACTGCAATGCTCTGAGGCGGCGCCTCGTGTAGCTTAGACCACATTGTAGGTCTGTGGCTCTCTCCTCCTCTCCTGGCCTAGAGATGGGCCACAATATGGCTCCTAACACTGCAGCCTGGCAACCAGCAGCTGCTTGGCTATCTTCTAGCTGTGGCACACGTTCACCCCATTTTCTCAGAACTTTACAGTACTTTCCATTCCAAGAGATCACCACACACTCTAGTGAGGGCTCCTTCACTCACTATTTTTCTCTCATCCCGTCTACTATCCCTGACTGACACTTCCTTAGTTCGAGCACCTTCAACTAGCAATCTTCTGTGCAGACCAGCTAGACACGGCCCGGTCCTGAACCGGTAGCCGTTGCCCCTTAGGCCGGAACGCACCCTCGCCTTCAGCACCCGCCTCAGCTACGCAGGTACAGGTTTCCCCCGCTATCCGAAGGCAGAGCGTTCCTATGAAACCTTTCCTAAGCCGAAACGGCATAAAGCTAAGCGCCAATGATCACTAATTTATATGGGAAAAACTTTTGAGCATCCTCAGGTCCACAAAATAACCTGCAAAATAACCCGCGAGGAGCACAGCCGCTCCCAGCCGCGGCGGCTCACGCGGAGGCGCTGAGCGTGGCTCCCGGGCCGCAGCTGGGCGGCGCCACGCGGC